ATCATCCAGGGTAGACTGCCGTTTCGACCTGGATTGGTCCTCACCAGCACCCCCAACAGGAATCGAACCATGGTAAGGTAGCTGCCATGCTGTTAAGTGCCAACGATTTTGATGAGGCAAACTATATTTTTCGTTTATAGATAGAGCTTATAAACTACTAGTAAATCAGTAATATGAGATGTAGTCACCATTATTTGCTTAAGGTGATGAAGGTCTGGTAGTTGAATTTTCTCACAATGATATGAGTAGAGCTGACGTTCCAATTGAATTTCACACAGCCTTACTTTCAAAAAAGCGTTCTCATCCGGGGTGGACTGCAGTTTTGACATGGCCTAGGTCTTAGCAAAACCCTCAGCGAAAGCCAAACCATGACAGTGCAGTGTGTAATCTAGGCACGTTAACAACTAGGCCACATTCTTAGTTTATGAGTAAGGTAATGCAGTCGATTGTCATAGCAAATATAACTGCTTCATCGATATGGGAAAATGCATGCTGTGACCCAAGGGCACTAGTGGCAATTTGGCATAGTGGTTAACATGTCGAGCTCACAGGTTGCATCCTCATAGATGGAGTCCAGCTGGAGGCATTGATGAGACCTGGGCGAGGCCGAAACTGCAGTCCATCCTGGATGAGAACATATTTTGGGAAGCCGAGGCTATGTGAAATTCAATGGAAATGTCAGCTTTACTCATATCATTATGTAAAAATTCAACTACTAGTCCTTCATCACCCTAAACGAAATATGTTAAATGCATCTCGTATAAACTTATAATTTGCCATTAAAATCGACTACAGTAAGTACAGTAGATCTTGAATAAGAGGTGTAGGCGGTATTGAAACCTACTCACTGACAGTATCAAAATGTAGTCGATTGTAATGGCAAAATACTAGCTTTTCTCATCAACAATCTCATTATTAAATGTTATGTTGAAGAGTCCTGGCTTATCTTGAAACTTATATCTGACCTGCTACCCACTGGCACTCGTGGCAGTGACGAAGTGATAATACTTCAGAAGTATACGCCGAACTATCTGGATTCGGTACCCACTGGAGATACTGATGAGACCCAGGCGAGTTCGAAGCTGCAGTCCAGCCTTGAAGAGATTACCTTATGAGAAGCAAGGATAAGTAAAATTAAATATCCTTAAACATCAGTCCTTCACCACCTTAAGCGACCTAGAGTGAATACAGATCATATTCAATATCTAATGATAGTAAAAAAGCCTACTTAGCCTGAATGTCGACACACACACATACATGCAAAAATAAAAAAGCTAATAAACTTAAACTAATCTAGATATGAAGACCAAGATAATGTGGCCTTCTATTTAGTCACTCGACAACATCAAAATACATACGCTTATACTATACATACAGCATATAGGGAAAACCAGTCAATTTTCTTTATTGGTTGGCTTGAACTATACCTTTTTCTGATGATGTGCGTAATGAAGGACGAAAACTTGACACATTTACACCGGAATAGAAAGAAACTGCTTAGGGGGCACCCTCAATCAGAAGGTTCTAATGAAGCAATTCGACAGCTATTTATCCGTTCCATTCAAAATAGAGGTCAGCTCAATAATTATATAAAGATGCTTGATTTTCGAAGCTATCATATGACAGGATAAATAAACATTAAAAATACTAGTTAATAGAAATGTTCCATTTTAAAGAATGAAAGCAATAGTAATATTGCAATAAGTTGCTTTCGGTTGGATATATATGCCAATGACGTAACAAGTAAGGCATTATTAAAACTTAACGTAAACATAAATCTATCTAGTGAGGGAAATGACTCACTGAATATGACGACCTAAATCAGAACAATATATGCTCGAATAGGTACAGCCACTGAATTTATGGTCATATTGCCAGCTATTAAAGTTAAGCTATATTCATCAAAAGATCAACAGGATGGAGCATTTTAAATGTTCATCGTCAGGTCAGATATAAAGCATATTACTAACACTTTTTTTTGCAAGTC